GGGGGGGGAGTACAGAGATGGAATCCCCAAAGACTACAAGTTCCCTGTGGCCCAGATGCCACTAAGGAATGACAGCCTTGGAGTTAGCTAAGAGCGGCAGCCCCGGGCTCCCAGGGAGTGTGCCTCAGGGTTGTTGGAGATTCAGGATGCAGGACGGGGAGGAGTCAGTTGCTTGTTTGAGGACAAATGAGCTACTCAAGCTAGCTCTGATTACGAAGGGCACATGGGTCAATTAGAGCCCTGATTCTAACAGTCACTTCTCATTTGAATGGCTCCAGTTGGTTGCTGTCCTTGAAAAGATACTTGTGGGGTGTGTGTGTGTGTGTGTGTGTGTGTGTGAGAGAGAGAGAGAGAGAGAGAGAGAGAGAGAAAGAGAGAGAGGGAGGGAGAGGTCTTTGGAAATTCTCCCATCACCTCTCTGCTGATCAAGCAATGACAATGGGCGTGTCTACTGGAAATCTGTCCTATGATCTTGAAGGCAGCTCTGTCACCTGCTCCTGGACAGATTGTTCACTCTGGAAAGAGTGCCACAAGCAGACCAGTCTCTGCTTCCCCCTTACTCTCTCCCCTCCAGTGCCATTTTGGATTTGCACCCACAGATCATCTCCTCTGCCGTGCATGAAACTCATCGATCGGCCCAGACACCCTCTGCTTTTTCTTTCTCTCATTTTCACAGCTCTGATTTGGGATGTGGCTTGGAATTGATGGCGCAAAAGCCCGGGGCCATAGTTTACGGTGAGCATTCTATCTTTCGTAGAGTATCATAAAATATCAGCAAATCTTCTTGTCAAAGGCATCGGAGATTTGACGCAGGAAAATCCAGGGTTTGGATGCCCCCTTTCGAATCAACTCTCCACTCCACGTGGCTGCTTATTTCAAACAAGGACACTCTGAGCAGGGCTTTACATGGAGAGCCAGCATTCTCTGAGCAGCTGCTTGTGTGTCATCTCCTCCCAGACACTAAATAACCCCTAAGTTTTACCAGATATCTGTGTGTACGACCAGGAGAGGAAAGATCTGAACCTGGGCCATCGTGCAGAGACAGTGGGACCTGTCTCTGAGTGTGCAGTGGGGTGAGGAAGAGAGGCCACAGAGCCCTCAGTGGATGCGTGGATAAAAGACAGGACCTCAGACAGAGTGAAAATGACACCCGGAAGCGGGAGTGACAATAAGGTGTGTGACTAGGTAATTGAAGCCACACCCTTAATCTGCTACTTCCTGTTCCCCGATATTGCCCCCTCCGAGCCCCGTAGGCAGAAAGCTAGTCAGAATAGACACTGCCGTTTTCCCTAGGTTACCGTGGGGTCCCCGGCCCTGCATTCCATCCTGTGACCCATCTTTTTATTCATGTGCGGGCACATTCTTGGGGGAGCAGTGACCTACTTTTTAACCTGTGGTGTTCAGACCGCAGTGCCCACCACTGGGCTCCAAAGCCTCTTGTTTTTTTTTTTTTTAATCTGGAACCCCACTGGTTCAGCTAGTCAGCTGGTCAGAAGGGCCCAGGCCTGTCCCCACACCTGGAGGTTTTACATGGGCCCGGAGGGTTCCATTCAGGCCCTCATGCTTGCACTGCACGAACCAGCAGCTGAACCATCATCCCGGCTGTCTGGTCCCGCCTTCCCAGCTTCTTGAAAGCTTTCCATCTGTGAACCCTGGAGTAGCCCACCGTGGGCCCCCAGGCCTTACCTTGCACGGGCGCTAAGGGCTCATACACCACTCGGTAGCCCTGCAGGATGCCGTTGGCCGCCGATGGCTCCCCCCAGGACACGTTGAGTGTGGTGGAGGTTATTTCTGAGAATGTCAAGAAGCTGGGGGGTCCAGGAGCTGGGAAAATAGAGCGCAGGGGTTCAGAGCGAAGACCAGCACCTTTACGGATCACCCACCTACGGCCGAGCCTCCCTACAGTACGCGCCACGCTGTTAGGGGCTATCCAACGGCGCAGAAGTACAAATGGTGCAAAAGGGAAGTGAGACACCCTGAACAGCTCTCCGCTTCTTGCGCTCAGCAAAAAGCGACGGCCCTCCCAGAAGACCAGGGAGGGTGATGGGCGAAAGGATGAAGGACAGAATGAATAACAGATGATAAACAGAGCAGAAGATAAAAGGCCAGCAGCTCCGTCTCCAGAGGCTGCGGGAGGATGCTGTGTCCCTCCTGCTTTTAGTGAAAGAGGAAGTGGTGGATGAGTTTCCTCTCCCTCCTTTCCTTTTCCCACACCCCCTTCTTCCTCTTCCCAACTCTCTCCTCCACTTTCATTCCCTCCTCCTCTTTTCCCATTTCCCTCTCTTCTCCTCTTCCTCTCCCTAACCCTTCTCTCTCCCAACTCACTTTTCTTCTCTCCTCCTTTCCTTTCCCCACTTTGACTTTCTCTACCCACATTGACTCTTTTCTCTTTTCTATACTTCACCTTTCCCTCCCTCCCTAGTTCCCCTCCCCATTTCACCTGTCTGCTCCCTCCCCTCTCCCTTCCTTTCTAGCCCTCCTCTCCCAGGGCATGGTGATGGGGTGGGCAGTAGTGGGGGGGTTTGCCACCCTGATCCTTCTGCTCGAAATTCCATTGACACCCTAGGTTTATAGAGACCAGTGGGGCGGAGGCAGGAAAAAACCTGACCAACCCATCTCGGCTCTGGCGGTACAGAAGCTCTGGGGTGCAGCCATGTGACACTCTCACTTGGACGGTGCAGGGGTGTGTGTGTCAGGACCACCCTTACTTGATATCACAGCAGGCTCTGGTCTCCTCTTGGTGCCCACCTGCAACCATGTGTAACCTCCACTCACTGTACCTCAAGGCTCCTGATCTACCAGGGCCCAATGTCCAGCCATTGCTCTCTCCTCTACACATCTTTACAGCTCTGGTCCCCTAAGTGCAAAACAGAAGAACTGGGCTCCATCCTTGGGTGATGGACAGGCAGCAAGGAAACAGTTACCTAATGGGATATAACACCAGAAGCCCTGACCAGGGGTCAGCTGTGTAGGTGGGTGTCTGTCTCCTGAGCCCACAGAATGTTGTAAAGTGTTAGGCTCTGTGTTTTTGCCCAACAGGCTCTGAGGCCTCACTATTCTACCTTAGACTTTCTGTTTCTTTTCTTTTTTCTTTTCCTTTTTCTGAGACAAGATTTCTCTGTGTAGTCCTGACTGTCCTGTAACTTGCTCTGTAGACCAGGTTGGCCTTGAACTCAGAGATTCGCCTGCCTCTGCCTCCCCAGCGCTGGGACTAAAGGTGTGCACCACCACACACAGCTGGCTTTCTGGTTCTTAACAGGGCCCTAGGCCAGGCTGCAATTTCCTGGCCATACCACTGCCCTTTGGGGTATAAGGAACTGAGCTGAGTGGTGGGGAAGCCTGCTGCAGACAGGGGTATCCTGGGTGTGGATGGCCCTTAGCTGGGCATCCTTGTCCAGCCCATCTTGTGGTCCTCCACAGCTCCCCTGTTTCAACTCTCAATCCCAGCAGGTGGCACTGTTTGGGAAGGTTGGAGAACCTTCAGGAGATAGAAGGAACAAGTCACGGAGGTCGGGCCTGGAGGCCTTCGCCTGGCCCTACTTCCTGTTCATTCTGCTTCCTGACTGACCATGCAAAGTGACCAGGGCCTCAGCTTCTTGCTCCTGCCACCATTTGTTCCAGGGATGAGAGAGTTTGTCCCTTGGATCCAGAAGCTAAAACGTACCCTCCCTGTTGTCCTGAAGCTGCTTTTGTTGGGATATTTTATCACAGCAAGAGCAAACATAAATAAAACCTGTAAGGGTGGGGGGCAGGTGGTTGAGCGGCAGCTGAGCTAGTCCAGGCATGGTCTAAGGATCTTGACTGGGTGGGGTGGGGGAGGGCATAGGCTGGGCCTGGAGCGGGGCTAGCCTGGGTCCAAACCTGGGTCCTGGCCTCCATGCACAAGGAACTCAGCTCCTAGAGACCTAGATACACTAGGACATCTGAGAGAAAGCACAAGAAGGAAGAAGACACAAGGCCTTTCCTCCGTCCAGGAAATTTGAAGGCTTACCGAAAAATACACTGCTCCAACCTAGCCAAGACAACCTTAGCACCACACAGGCCCTGGGGACCAGTGAGTCTCCCCCATACCCCTTCTCCAAATCCCAATGGTGCACACTCTTTGCTTCCTCTTTTTTTTTACTTTTCTTTCTTTCTTTCTTTTTCTTTTTCTTCTTCTTCTTCTTCTTTTTTTTTTTTTTTTGAGATAGGGTCTCCTGCATCTCAGGCTGGCTTGGAACTCAAGGATGACTTTGAACTCCACATCCTCCTGCCTCTATGATCCCAGGTGCTTGGAGTGAACACATGTGCCATGACGCCTAGCTAGATTCTGAGGTGCTAAGATGGGACCCAGGGCCTCGTGTAAGCCCTGTACCAAATGAGCTGGAGTGCTGGCTCTTGAGCAATACACTTGATGTTAATACAGGGAGGCGAGGCTGGGCCACCTACCGGCTTGGTGTGTGCGCCCCTGGCATGGGTCACTCTTGGGCCCGTCTCCCGCAGCGTTGAAGGCTGAGATGCTAACCAGGTACTTTGTGTGGCTGGTGAGGTTCTTGATCTTCACCACAGGCTCAGGGAGGAAGAGGACCTTCATCTTCTCCGTCTCGTTGCGGCTGTCTGCCTCCCAGTAGTAAATCTGTGGGGCACAGCACAGGGGAGGGTTGGACTACACCAAAGCCAAGTGTGGGGAGAGCGGTCCTCAGAGATCAGGCTCCTGTGGTGAACGCTGTCCCGGGACTCAGACCATGGGCGATGGTCAGGGATTCTGTCCTGTGGTCTAGACTTTGAGTGTCATCTATGGCTAGGCCGAGCCCCACAGTCTCACCCCACACGTCCACATTTGTTCAAAACCAACATCTGATCATTCCATCAATGTGGCAAGAACACTTTGGGAATGAACATGTCAAAAATGACAGGAAGGGGGCAGGGGACAATGTCTCAGTCAGTGTGTGGTGCACAAGCATGAAGACGTGAGTTCAATCCCCAACACCCAATGTTTAAAAAAAAAGCCATGGTGGGGGGGTGCATGCTCCTAATCCCAGCTTGGAGAGGTGGAGACAGGCAGATCCCTGGGGCTCAGCCTAACTCACAGGCCAGCAAGACAGCTTGTCTCAAAATACAAGGTAGGGGGCTGGAGAGATGGCAACTAACAGACCTTCCCAAGAGGATCCGAGGCCAGATCCCAGCACCCATATCTGGCAGCTCACAACTGCTCCGGGAGTTCTGATGACCTCTTCTGGCCTCCACAGGTATCTGCACTCATATGTATATACTCTGACACAATTTAAGAATAAACTTTTTGAAAGGTAAAGGGAACCTGAGAAACAACAGCTGGCCTCCAAACACACACACACACACACACACACACACACAGTCCTAAGCTGGGACTGTAGGGAGAGCAGCTCCTGTAGGTACCGTTTCTTCTCATCTAGCTTCGATATGCTCACAGGTAGATCTGAGGGCCAAGCTCAAAGCACTTCCCTCAACAGCTGTCTGGCAAGCACTGTCCCCAGCCTGTGCCAGCTGGGCCTCCCAAAGACAACACTGGCTGGAAGATGCCCCTTGGCTCTGTGTACGTGAGCCTGTGCCAGGCCACAAGAGCAGCGTGCCCTCTATGAGAGCAGGGCAGGCGCTGCAGGAGGAAGCCGGGCATCCGGCCTCATGGGTCATACCTGTGCGGGAGCCTGCCTGGCACGTGAGCTTGCTGCTTTCCACCCACAAGCCCCGGCAGCACGCCTGATGGCATGGCTGACCGTGGAAAAGCCTCTGCTCAGACAGGCCGTGCTAACTTGTGATCGATATCCAAGTTCAATGTCTTTATCATTAGGGAAATGAGAAAACATATTTTTGGATGTGCATAAATAGTGCCTTGCCTCGGAGCTCACGGGACTCTCTGTGACCTCACCCGTCTTTGTCAGAGCTCTGCCGGCAGGGAGGTATCCATTTTCATAACACACCCACCAAGATCATTTGAAAATGGACATTTAATTGGGCCAATATTCGTCAGGGCAGCATGGCTCTGAGATTGGGATAACTGATCAAGTAGGGCTTATGGAGGCCAGACAAGGAAATTACTTCTGGAAGAATGGAGACGCCAATGGGCTGTCTCCTCCCTGGAGGTTTTGGTGACGCTCAGAGCTCCGCAGTGCCATTAGCAGGGAGGAGGGCAGCAGGGAGAAGCCGCCCAGTGGGACTTCTTTCTCCTGATGCTGGCTGGCAGGGTGAGCAGCCTTTCCCTTCCCATCTCTTGGTCACCTGGTGAACGGGGACTCAATGGCTTTGCAGTGATGTGGTCTCTAAGGGAGGTTCCCAGAAGTCACACCATTCGGGGACTTGTTACAAGTGCAATTCCCAGAACTCAGGACGTGGCTCAGTTGTGCAGCTCTGAGGACCTGAGTGCCAAGCCAGACCCATGTTAAAACCAACCAACCAACAACGAGCCAGGCCCAGTCGTGCCTGCTTATAACTCCAGTGCTGGGGAGACAGAGACGGGGATCCCCAGGGCCTGTTGCTCAGTCAGCCTAATCAAACAAGTGAGTTCCCAGCCAAGGACAAACCTTGTGTCTGCCCTACCCCACCTCTCAAAAAGGAAAAAAAAAATGTTGACTGCTTGAGGACTGAAGAACAGCATAGTGAGGGACCTTCTGGCCCACCTCGTATACACACCACATATACTCACACAAAACACATTCACACACAGGTTCTCGGGCTCTACCCCACACCTATGGATCAGCAAATGTCTGTGGTGTGGACACAGGAAGAGATCCTTGGTGGCTCTGGGAACCTTTGGAGGAGCCAAGCATGCTTCATGGTGGGCATCCAGGAGCCACGTGGGAAGCTGCTTTTATCCCAGACGTCGCTCCCAGCAAACCTGTTCCTGGCACTCCGGGCCTGCCTGGATGGTGCATCTGCTGCCGGGGACACAGCAGCCCTGCAGTGCAGCCAGTATGTAGCCAAAGCCTCCGGGCCCTGGGCACATGGCAAGCTGGAGGAGAGAGCCCAACCATGCGTGAGAACTTGCCTTGTAGCCCTGGATGTTCCCATTCTGGCTCTCTGGGGGTGGCGGGTCCCATGTGACCTCCAGCTGGCTGGCCGTGAGTGGGGTCACCTGAACGTTCTGCGGGGCCATCGCGGGAGCTGAGGACAGAGAGAAACAGGAGAGTAACTGGGATGGCCTCCCGGAAGCTGGCTGAGACCAATCCATGTCTCCAGGGCCCACGCAGGATGTAAATCTGTGATGGACAGAATGGGAAACTGTGTCCTGGACACTGCCCAGGCTTGGGAGGTGTAAGCACATCCCAAGCTTGAGGCTCTGTGTCCCATGCAGTCTTAGCCCTTTTATGCCAAGGAAGGATACAAGCTCCGAGAAACCTTCTTATAAACACACAACACAGACTTCAGAGACAAACAGCACCGACTCTGCTGAGATACAGTCATCAAGAGTGTTAAAAGACAAACGCTATCTGGATACCCTCGTGGCATGGGCTGGGAGTTTAGACAGTGAGGTTAGAGTAAGACATGGAGACCAACTGGATGTCCCAGAAGCACATGGGGTGTGGCAGAGACCCATGAGGCTTTGTGGGTGAGGGGGCCACAGGTACAAGACATCCCTGACTGCGCGTGAGATGCTATGCTTGCAGGGAAGAAACAGAATATAACGCCGATTGCCTTGTTTGTGCGCCTCTCTTATGATGCCTGCTTCCAGAAAACTATCCAGAGACACAGCTGCCTGTCCGCGTGCGGGGATTCCGGTGTCTGGGAACGTGGTCGAAGGCAGCACTGAGGCAAACCTTGAGAGCAAGTTTGGAACATGAGGCTGTTCCTCTCCCTCTCCCTTCCCACCAGAGTGCTTCCTGGGGCGGCCTGTCCTGTCACTACCACAATATACAAGCAAAAGAGGAGGTGGCTGGAGGCAGCGGCCTGCCGCTCTACCCCCACCGCCATCAGGGAACAGTGGAGGAGCAGTGCAGAGAGGAAGAGAGCCGGCTTTATTCTCTCCCCGGAGCTGCCTCGTGGTTGTGAGTCCCAGGTGGGAACTCACCCGTGCGGGCTGTCCACTGCCTCTCTGGGGACAGTCCTGTCTCCCCCTGAGAGCTCCTCGTAGAAACACTAGTCCCTGCTTGAACCCAAGAGTTGTGTGGAGCTGTCTTAAAGGCCTAGCCCGTGAGAGGCAGAGGCTGGCCCAGCCTCACCTCACCTCCTGCAGGCTCAGTCTGAGGGCCCAAGAGCACTCTCTGCCCTTTCTCACCTGCTGTGTGTGCTCACCTGTGCATGCGTGTCCGTGGTCTGCATATGTTCACGTGTGTGCACATGTATATACAGGCTTGTGTATGTGTGTATGTATGTATGTGTGTGTGTATGTATGTATGTATGTATGTATGTATGTATGTATGTATGTATATAGCAGGTGTGTGTTAAGGCCAGAGGTCAATGTTGGTCTCTTCACTGATCACATCAGTGTGTGCGAGTGTACGCTACGAGGACCTTCTCCCAGCCCCTGCTGGCTGCTTTCTGATTTGAGCCTGCATAGAGGCCATCAGCGGAGGCCACGGAACCATCGCTGCCCAAGAAGAGTTTCCTGGCACGGGGCTCCTCGGGAGAGATCAGGCGACCTCACGAGCAGTAGGTCATTCCTTGCTCGAAGCCCCCCCCCCTGCCTCCTGCTCCCTCCCCCCACCCATGCAGAATAAAATAGTAATTAACACCCGCTCAGCCTGACATGACTATTTATTTTGCTCTAACTGTGTGCTTCTGTGTTATCTCTGCCCACCCTGGCGCTAATGGAAATGTTAATAGCCCACACCAGGTTGTTGTGACAGATGCTGGGCCTCATTATCAGAAATTCTTATTTACCGCTCCATTAAACAACAGAATCACACAAAAAAACAATTCAATCAAAAACTAACTGGAGGAATTTTAACAGCCGCATTAATAATCCAAAACATAAATAAAGTTAATGTCTTCTGCATGTTTGCCGTCGGCAACTTGATCACGAAATTACTGTTGTACAATTAAAATCATGAAAGGCGGAATTGAGCACGGCCGTTACCGTGGTAGGCCGGTGCACAGATCCGGCCTCGGCCCCCAAGGTTGGCTTTCCGAAGACTTGGTGGCAAGCAAAGCCAGGGCAGCCCTGGCCACCACGGGGGTCCTTCTGGAGCAGGGGGCGAGCCACACACTCCCGGCGATCGCCAGCACTCAGGGTGTCCGGCGTCTCTGGGTGGAGAGACGCTGGAAGAAACTCCCTGATGAGCCACAGCTGCGTCAGCTGACCGGCAGCCTGGTGCCTTACGCCCCAAAGATACCTCAGGCGACTGGGTACAAGCAGGGAGGACATGGATGAAAACATGGTACACAGTCTCAGATGCAACACTTTTTTTTTTTTGCCTGCTTCCAGCCCGCCCGGAGAATTTAGCCTGTTGTTCTCCATGCAGAATGTAAGCCTCACCCAAGGACAGGGTGTGCAGCTGGGAGCTGACAGGTCGGCAGGCTAGCCCTTGTCTGACCTCCAGTCTTGATGTTCGTGGTATAAGATACACACAAGCATTAGCCTGTGTGTGTGTGTGTGTGTGTGTGTGCGCGCCTGCACACATGTATATAAACGCCAGAGGTCATGGCTCTTTGTCAGTTTCTCTCCATCTTATTTTTTGAGACTGGGTCTCTGGGATGGTTTGAAAGAAAATGGCTCCCATGGGCTCCTGGGGAGTGGCGCTGTTAGGAGGTGTGGCCTTGCTAGAGCAGGCAGGTATAGCTTTATTGGAACAAGTGTGTCACTGGGGGCGGGCTCTGAGGTCTATGATGCTCAAGCCAGGCCAGTGGCTCGTGCTCTCTTTCTGCTGTCTGCTAATCCAGATGTAGGACTCTCAGCTCCCTCTCCAGCATCATGTCTGCCTCGTGAAGCCCTGCCTCCCTCCATGACAATGACGGACTAAACCTCTGAAACTGTAAGCCAGCCCCAATTAAACGTTTCCCTTCGTAAGAGTTGCTGTGGTCATGCTGTACACTCACAATAGCAGAAACCCTAAGACGGTTTCTCCCTGAAGCAGGGGCTCACTGGATTGCACCTGTAAACACACCCACATTCATAGCCATTCATGTACAGTAGCTATCCTCAGCTCATTTCACTTTGTTTGCTGGTGAATGAATCGTGCTGGCCTGTAGCCCTTGACTCCACGTTTTGGTGCACCTAGGGTGAGCCTGCACCATGACAGGCCCCACCCTGCAGCCACGATGGACCTAAGAACCTCAGAGCTTAAGAATCTTGTCATAGCAAACACACAGGACCTGCAGGCTGCGTGTGCTGGATAAGGAAGGAGGAGGACGGGTGATGTTATAGTCTGCTTTCTGTTGCCGTGATATGCACTCTGACCAAAAGTGACTGGGGGAGGAAAGGGTTCATGTCATCTTACAGCTTCCAGTCCATCACCGAGGGAAGCTGAGGTAGGAGCCGAAGAAGAGATCATGGAGGAACATTTGCTAACTAGCTCTTGTTCAAATAGCTTTTGTACACAATGGAGGACCCCCCCCCCAGCCTGGGGTGGCACTGCAATTAGCAATTAGGGAGACACCCCACAGACATGCCTGTGGGACAGTCTGATGGAGGCGATTCTTTGGCAGAGGCTCCATTGTCTCAGGGCTAATTTGTGGCACGTGTCAACAGAAGCTAACCAGTGCAGTTGGCTTCACTCAGTCTTTGGCAAGCCAGTGGAGCCCTTTCTGAGCGAAGGAACCTCTCAGAGCCCTGAACTTAATCCTGTAGTGAGGGGGATATCCATCACTCAGTTCTGAGAGCTCTTGTTCAAACATCTGTGTGTGGGCAGGTCGTGAACACCTATGATGGTGAGAATGGATTATCAACTCGACAGGATGGAGAGCAACGGAGACAACCCTCTGGGCATGTCTGTGAGGGGTTACCTAAATTCACTTAGTTGAGGAGGGAAGCCCCAACCTATGCAGTCCACAGCTGGGGTCCTGGGCTGCATAAAAAAGCCCCAGCATCCATCTCCCTCTGCTTCCTGACTGTGGAAGCCATGTGATCAGCTGCCTCACGCTCCTGCCTCCATGCCTTCCCACCGCGATGGACCGTGAGCCCTCAGACTGGGAGCCAAATAAAGCTCCCTCCCTTCGGTTGCTCTTGTCAGGAATTTTGGAGAAAAGTCACACACATGGTTTCTAAGGGAAGACTCACACGAGTCACCCACTGCCTCTAGGACTACTCTAGACTACTCAGACACCCATGATGGCCAGGGGCACCCTAGGTCATTCTGGACATCCACTGTTGATAGGCCCATCCTAGGCTATAATCAGGCATCAACTGTCGCCAGGGCTATCCTCGGCAACACCGAGGGTTCCTGCTGCTCCTAACTTGTTCCTAGTCACACACGGGGCCTCACTTTGGCTGAAGCTGCACGAGACCGTAGCAGGCCACACTAGGTTGCCAAGTCTGGGTTTGCCATCAGCGGTTTAATAATAATCTGAAAATAATTTGAGGGGCTAGAGATAGGACCCAGCAGTACAACATTTTCCCAAAGTCACCTAGATTGGCAGGTTCTTTCTTTCTTTCTTTCTTTCTTTCTTTCTTTCTTTCTTTCTTTCTCTTTTTTGTAGCGCAGCCTGACCTCAAGCCTCTGATCCTGCTGTCTCAGCCTCCAGAGTGCAGGCATTAGAGACAGGAGCCACTAGAGCTGGTCCCCTATAGACACTTCAGTGTTCAAAGTCAGCTCTGAGCCTCCATCCTGAAGACAAGGCCAGCCTTTGATCCCACCGTAATGACTTTTATTTTCTTGTTCTGGCTCTTGGGCTTAGGCTCCTCCCTGTTCAATAGCTGACACCGCCCATTATGTAAGATAAACAAAGTTGAAAGCCATTTACCAGCTGCTCTGCCTAAACTGAGGTGGTTTTTGTTTGTTTTTAAACTCCCTCCACCTGTATTATGAGTCTCCCATCACAGCGAGACCCAGGTCTTGACAGATCATGATTACATTGATACAGAACGCCATGCAAGGCTGTTTCCTGGCTCCTCATGAGACTCATGCCACTGAAGAAATGTCTTCTTCTCACTGGACAGTTTGGAGGTTCAGATAGATTGTGTCACCTGCCCTAGAATGATCTAGATTTCAACTCCGATCTCTTTGACT